GAATTGATTGTAAGAACATGAAAATATTTTGTTACCAAATTATCAGGGAAAATTTGGTTAAAACACATTGCTTCAATGCAATAGAATGCAGTGTTTACAAAATGACTAAAGGAAATCATAAAGAGAACATTAACTTTATTAAAATTATAACAAAAAAACCCAGACTGAAGCGTAGCATCTTAATGAGAAATAATGTGCATCCATGTCAAAGCTATTTTGACACAGAATAAATGATTTATCAATAAAAAATAAATACATACTACCTTTCCACATCCTTTTTCCATAAAGCCTTCTAGTTATTTTAAATCTTTAAAAGGTACTTAAGAATTAGAAATTTGAATAGCCCAACACATAATTTCAAACAGAAGGACATATTCCATGACTTACTATTCCAAATGTGCTTTCAGTAACAAATTCAGTGATGCAGTGGAGATTTTCTCCTTTTGTATGCTCTTTCTGTCTGCTTGCTCTTCAGAATTATGGGCCCAGAATAGCAGTATGATTTTTCTCAGTAATGTACAGTTTCAAGTTATTTTAGATTAAATTCAAAGTGAACTAAGCAAGTCTACTTTTGGCTCAAATACCTACTGACCTAAATTCACTCAAAAAAGCATACCTTATATAAGTTAAAAAGAAAAAAAATTACTATTAAGTAAAAAAAAATTACTATTACGTAATACACATCATTATAGCGAACATATACAGCTCTATATTTAATGGTATGTTCATCATCTACAATTGTGTGATATATGAAACATGAAATTCACTCCACTTAAGAGCTATTACAATGACTTATCACTAAATATGAAACATTCAAAAAGCATGTTACACTGTACATACAACTTAGATGGAACCTTCCCAATACTGTTCGTTTCACTTAAAATTAAATTTAAAATTAGTATTTATAAGATTCCACTTATAAAAATTATCTTCTTGGGAAAGTATGCTACTGTATTTAGAGCCTGTTGTGCTCTAATAAAAATGAAAATTAAAAACAACTTTCCAATTCCAGTTCCTATATAACAATGATGTGTCAGAGGCTTCTGACAAAGGATTAGAACCTAAGGAAATAATCCTTTTAGGATATTAAAATAAAACTAAGGATCAAAGAACAAAAGTAACAGGTAGATACAAGCCCCTGCAGTGTTTGATAAAAATAAGCAAACATTACAAATATTATTCATGGTGTATGCAATGCATCCTTTAAGAAGACTTAAGATAATATTTGAAGCAGAATTCTATATGTTACACAAGGTGTTGCTGGTGTCTCATATGAATCAAGTACTTGCTTTTCTCTCTCAGACCTGCCTACTGTAATATATCCTAGAACAGGATTTGTCTTTTCCTGGCCCTGTTACTCTGGCAGTCAGCAACCATTTTACAAGGACATAATACCTCCAAATCTTTCTGCATCTGTCTCTCTTCAAATTTATAAGGTCCTACCTCATACACAGAAATTCTTATTCTTCTTCCTTTTAACTTTGTTATCATATTTTATCCCATTCTACCACTCTAGTATCCCAAATAAAAAATTACTGTACATTTTTCTGACCCCCATTAGAACATCCTTCTACTTTGTGACCTAAATTTTATTATAATCTATTACATTTTTGTGAGATTGTCACTACTGAACACTCAAAATGAATAACACAAGTAATCCACCGCACTAATAAGGTGTCTCCTCCAGGCTAATACTATTCCTTTTAGCACAAGTCCCTGTCACTTCATCCCTTCAGCTACTTCCTTTTCCAGTGAATGATTCCACTTTTCATCCACCTTCCCTCTCACTCAATACAGAACTTTCTATGTGCCAAGAAATGCTGAAAGGGAGTTTACAGATGCAGTTTCTCCCAAACTACGTTTCATTAGGAAATTTGCCTCATTGAAACAGTAAGCAAACCCAGAACAATATAATACAGACAAGAAAATCTTTGACAACAGACCTGTGTTGCATTTATATTTTCCATTTTTATCTACCTCTACTTTGTTAATTCTTATTTCTTCAAAATTTGTCCTCCTGTTTTGCACACTACTATGATCAAGCCAGGACTTGTAATTATTTCTAATTCTAGTGTTCATATATACCAATCCCAAGAGACTTTATCCCACTTAGTTCCAAACATTTTTAGACTATTGACTGTAAACAATTTGGAAAGCATTTCATTCATCTATAACTTTTTAATTACCTTTATTAACATACAAATTATATCTATTATTTTCTTCAGCTGGAGAACAGAAACCCATTCACAGAGCATGTATTAATGTTTTGTGTTCTAATAATACCCAAAATGAAGTTCCTTTAGTTTCCTATTCAAGCTTACTGTTGTAGGTATATTTTTTTCTACCCAGAAAAACTATCCATTTCCTCTTTTTTCAAGGATACAAAATTTGTAGTATTACGTATTTTTAATTGTATAAATTTACTTCTTTTTTTCTTCTTAACTTCTATTCACATGTACAGGACATAAGCAAATATAATCATGAGATTTGCTTAGTATTTACTCCTACAATCACAGTTTCCTCTTTACTACTGTTTCTTTCTGTAAAAGTCTAATTTGATATCTGTATGGATTGCTCTGAGCAATTTGAGTGATTTTCTCTTCATATTCTCCCTTATAATTTTACATCAAAAAATATGGCCTGCTCATCTGACACAATCTGCAGATTATTATCAAATTTAAATTTTGTTAATGGAATTCACCACCCTTTTCAATTTCATTGGAAGTGGAGATTTATTCAATACTGAAGTCTTCAAATAATACAATTTTGGATCTTCATCACAGAAAACTCCTTGGCAGGAAGAGATGAGAGACTTTCTTAACTATGTGAAAGCTACAGGCCCACTCATTTAATTTGGTTAGAAAACAAAATCATAACCAACAAGAACAACCTTTGGAGAAAGATGCAGTGTGATTTATCCTTCCTGAAATTTGGCTGGAGAGGTTCTGTCACTGAGTGTGTAAGCTTGATGACTTTTCAGATTTACAGAGATTATGAAGAAAGTAAATTACTACAAGTTTAGCAATTAAAATGCTAAGAGTCTAAAAGCAAGATTATCAGCTTGAGAAGAGTCATCTTAAGATTCATTTAGAGCACTAACAGAATATATATTATAATAGAGACAAAACATTCAAAGTTCTGGTATTACTTTGAAGCTTTCTTCAAAGTGTATTCTAAAATGCTCAGCGACATAGACTGTTTTCAGTTTAACTGCAAAAAATCTTATAGTTGAAAACAACTTTTCAGAATATTGAAATGAAAACACCTTCAGAACAGAAGGGAATAAATAGACAAATAATCAGAATGACCAATTATTAATCTTGTGCCAAATTTCTTCTTCTTTTAGGAAGTCAGTATTTACTAATGCAATCAAAATACGGTCAAAAGGATGAACACATGTAGAATATAAACAGAGAGCTTATTAACAGTTTCAGAGTTGCTGTATTTGTAACCCAAGTACCAGCAATAAATTCCCTAAAATTACTGATGACCAGTGAAGACATGACAGAAATCACAAAACCAAGGTTGCTACTCCTTTTTTCAAGTTCCTAAGAAGGTGTGTAGCAGACAAACTGAAGAGAGAATAGTAAATGTAATTTCCCTTACAAGTCTAAGTTCAATCAGAACCATGTAGGAAAGTAAGTAAGGAATGTACACACTTATTTCCTATAGGTCTCCTCCTCCATCAGTGATTCCTAACTACCATCAACAACTGAGTCTTTATCCAGAATAATAATCTTGGTACCATTACTGAACAAGGTCTTAACTCTTTCATCCCCAAAGAGTTTCTAATATTACTTTGTATTTTATTATATTCCATTGTCTTGCTGATGTTCAAGTTGATAAACATTACTCAGATCTTCATCCAGCTGCCTCTAGTTACATGTATTTTTCACTTTGGTATTGACACTTCTTCATGCTTCTCTCATTTACACTCAACAGACACCAACAAATATATACACCTGGCTTTATATCATATCTTTATAACCTCAGCTCTTTGAACACTTCTGTAGGCTCCCTACAAGATTCTAGCTGCCCATTCCACAAACAAGATCATTTTGGGATATTTAAGGTTCTTCACTAAATTGCTCATTATTACTCATAAATTACTCATCTGGCTTCTTTAAGAAATTAGTAACATTGACAAGGACATATTCTTAAATATTTCTC